AATGAAATATTATTTCATATCCACTAGAATGACTATTAAAAAAATAAGGACAATACCAAGTGTTGGTGAGGATGCTGAGAAACTGGAATCTTTATACACTGCTGGTCGGAATATAACATGGTATAGCCATTACGGAAACAATGTGACAGTTTCTTAAAAGTCAAACATAAACTTACCATAAGACTCATTAATTCCACCCCTAGGAATACCCAAGATAAATGAAATTATATATATACACAAATATATGTGCATAAATGTTGATAGCAGCATTATTCATAATAGCTGAAAAGTGGACACAAGCTAAATATCCATCAACTAGTGACTGGATAAACAAAATGTGGCATATCTATCTAATAGAATACAATTCTGCAATAAGAATGATTGAACTACTGATGCTACAAAATGGATGCTCAAAAACATGCTAAAGAAGATACAGAAGGGTATATTTTATTAATTCATTTACAAAATGTCTAGAATATTCTTAGAGGTGTATAAATCAGATCAAATGCTCCCTAGGCCTGGGTGTGAGAATGGGAATTAACTGCAAATGGGCACAAGGAAACTTTCTGGGGAGAAGGAAATGCTTTAAAACTGGACTGCACCAATAGCTTCACAATCTATATATTTTCTACAAGTCATTAAATTATATACTTACAATGTGCTAATTTTATGGGATGTAAATTATACCCCAAGAATGGTATTAAAAAGGAATGTGCTTTCCGCAATAGTTGGGCATAATATTCTGTAAGTATCAACTACATCAAGTTGGTTGATAGTGTTGTTTTGACAACTTTCTTATGATTATTTAAGAAGAATATTTTAAGAATCTCAAATTATTATTTTTGTTTTTTCTATTTTTCCCTTCATTATGCCAGTTTCTGCCTTATAAATTATAATGCTCTGTTTTTAGGTATATAAATATTCATTGTTATAACTTCCTGGTGAATTGCTCATTTTCCAATATGCAATGTTCATCTTTATATCTGGTACTACTTTGTCCTGCTGTCTACTTTGTCTGATATTAATATAGACTTGTTCACCTTCCTATGCTTTATGTTTGCATTGTATATTTTTTCATCATTTTATTTTTAACTATCCTTGTTTTTATATTCAAATGTGTCTCTTGTAGACAACATATAGATGAATCTTCCTTTTTTATTCAGTTTGACAATCTCTATCTTTTAAGTGGGCGTTTGGTCCATTTACATTTATTGTAGTAATTGATATGAGTGAGTTTACATCTAACATTTTGCTATTTGTTTTCCATTCATTCCTCCTATTTTAATCTCTGTTGTTGATTTTTCCCACCTTTGTTTCTATTAACCAAATTTTTTTTTTTGCGCGGTACACGGGCCTCTCACTGTTGTGGCCTCTCCCGCTGTGGAGCACAGGCTCCGGACGCACAGGCTCAGTGGCCATGGCTCACGGGCCTAGCCACTCTGCGGCATGTGGGATCTTCCTGGACCGGGGCACGAACCCGTGTCTCCTGCATTGGCAGGCAGACTCTCAACCACTGCACCACCAGGGAAGCCCCCCAAATATTTTTTAAGAGTTTCATTTTATGTTCTCTATTAAATTCTTACCTATACCTCTTCTCATTTTTTTTAATGGTTACTTTAGGGCTAAGAATATGAATCCTCAGTGGGTCCATATGGGGTCAATACTGTAACTGTTTGCTCTTCAAATCTGACACTACAAACTTTCTCTCCCATCTCACATCACATCTGACACTATTCATTTCATTCTTTCCATTTTCTGCTTCCTACTTCATAACCATACAACAGTATAATTCCATTCACCTGGCCTTGTCTTTTGTGCAATTGTTTTAAAGAAAATTACAAGAAAAAGCATAGAATTTTATGTTTACCCAGCTATTTACTGTTTCCAGTGTTCTTCTTTCCTTTTCATAGATGTAAATTTTTATCTGGGATCATCTCCCATCAGCCTAAATGACATCTGTTAGTGTGTTTGCAGTTCTACTGGCACCATATTCTCTGAGCTTTCATGTGTCTCATTATGCCTTTTTTTCACCCTCGTTTATGAAGTATATTTTCACTGAGTATGAATTGACAGTTTCAGTCTTTTCATTTTGGTACTTTATAAAAATGTCTTCTCATTGTCTTCTGGCCTTTACTGCATCTTCAAACAAGTATTCATAATTCATATAACTGTTCTTCTGTATGCAATATATCTGTTTTCCTTTGATGACTTTCAAGATTTCCTCTTAATCTTTGGATTTCAGCACTTGGACTATTATTAACTTAGGGATGATTCTTTTCATACTTAATCTGCGTGGTGTTCACTGAACTTCTGGGATCTGTGAGGTGGTGTTTTACATCAATCTGAGAAGTCTGTGACCCTTATTGCCTTAAGTAGTTTTTCTTCCCTTTTCTCACTCTCTTTTCCTTCTTGGATTCCAATTGTAAGTATGTTAACATTGTATCACAGATGCTTGAGGTTCTGTTAATTTTTCTTTTATCTGTTGACTCCTCATTCTTCAGTTTGGTTAATTTCTCTTTATCTCTCTAAGTTCACAGACTCTTTTATCCTACTTCTCCAATCTGATGCTAAGCTGATCTAGTAAAACATCATTTCTGTATTATACTTTTCATTTTAGAGTTTCTATTAATTTTAAAAATATTTTTTTCCTTTCCCTGATCAGCTCAAGTATTAAGATAATATTTTCATTTAGTTCTTTGAGATATTTTCATTTGATTCCCCGAATGAGGTCCACTGCCTAAAAGCAGTCATCTCATTTGTTTTGTGAAGCTTTATAGCTGTTTATGATGTATGGGTTAGTCTGGTAAGTTATTTCATTATGGCTGGAAGCAAAAGTACTGATAAATTCTTCTTATATTTTTGTACGTGAAAAATAAAGCAAAGTTTCATCTATAGAAGATTGGCATTGCAACGATCCTAATCATATCTTTTGCAGAAACTATGATACTAGTCAGCAACCAGTCACTTTATGCAGAGAATATAAACTTCAGGAATATTCTCTGAAGAAAACTGGACACAAAATTAGTTCTAACAAATGCTATCAGCAGCCAAGGAAAACAGAGTGAGAGAAAAGGAAGCTGAGCCACGATTTTGTTCAAGCAAGTACTGTTACAAATATGTAGACTCCTGATAAGCACAAAATAGGTTATGAATGAAAATTTTTATGATGATGGTGTTGGCATTTATGATTGTACAAAACTATCCCATGTGATACTGTTACTAGGATTCCTGAATAACAGTTTACAAGATGTATTATATGGTGTACATGAAAATGCTAACCAAACAATTAAATGCAAATGTTGCACCAAAAATGACACTCATTTCCAATAACATTCTTTTATATTTTGCAAAGACCTTTGTACAAGGTTCGTTCTCCTGAAAGTTTTGTCTTTCATCATGCATGACACAACAACACTCATGAGGATGGATTCAACATGTGAAAAAGCACATACACAAATAATCACATCGCACCTTGTACTTTAGACTCAACATTTCCCATAAAAAGTGGGTCAGAAAAATGTCCATCTCCCTGAATACTGTCTAGTTCCAAAGAGTTGGCTAAAATATATTTTAAGTGGGGTTTGTTATTCTTATAAGTCCATTCTGTTTGTTGTATAAACACATACAAAATAATTTTTCACCACTTATAAATTTTGGCAAATTATAACCATAAACTAAATAGGATTAAGTATATTAATTATGCTGATTTAAAAGGAGTCCAAAATACATGCTGTGGCTCAACAAAAGGGAAGGAAATTGGCAAAAAGGACACCCTTTCCTATTAGAATATTATATTCTTGAGATAAAGAACACTTGTGGTATTATCTGTTAAGACAAAACAAAACAACTAAGTTTTATATTATTTAAGTTTTGTCTTACAAAGCTCAGGACTTTCACTTTTAAAGGCATGTAAAGCTGAAGACTTAAGAGTTGTCTGAAGCAGTACTGGATATACTTGACCACATCTGTGAGTTGAAGTGTGTGCTTCTATTACCCTCACTGTTTGCAAACACTCATGACTAACTTCAAAAGACTCCAAAAAATGCTATGTATGTTCAACTATTCTTACTGCACCCTAAATTTCTCTTATGAACAAAGGGGTGTGCCAGGTAACTTAGATCTGCAGAAAAGACAGAGTGGCAAAAACGACATGAATAATGTTGGAACCAGAAACACACACAGAAAAATCAAGTAAATTAGGTTCAGTCTTTCACGTTTCTAATAGATACCTGGACGTTTAACTTCATGTTTTACTTCAGTTTTGAAGATCACGAGATACAGGTTATAATTATTTGGGTAGAGTTAAGTAGAGATCTTAGGTAGTTATATAAAATTCAAGATTAAACAAAAGCAGAAATATAAATGGGATATTACCTTCAACCATTTAGATCAGGGGTTGGCAGGCCTGTGGACCAAACCCTCTGCCTGTTTTTGTGACTAAAGTTTTATTGACACATAGCCATGACTTTCACTGACATGTTACCCATGGCTGCTTCAGCACCACAATAGCAGAGCAAGCAGCTGTGATATCCCAAAATACTACCTGCACTTCACAGGAAAAATTGATGACAGATTTAAGTAACTGCCTAAATTTTTCAGTTCATTCAATTTCTTAACAAAACATTACAACCTACTGACATTTTAAAGACTTGAGAATATGCATACACCAGTCTAAGCAGAAGAGAAATCCAGCTTCGGTTAGAAGGATGGATGTACAAACTCTTCTCTTGCTTTGTAAAGAACTAAATAAAATTTTATAGGATTTAAAAAAAAAAGTCTGTATCATATTTATGAGTCTAAATGAAAAGTTTAAAAACACTTATTTATATAGACATATACATAATCATGCCAATTTTCCTTCCAAGTTTTATTTAGAGCGTATTTACTATTTCTGGACTTCTGGTTCTCAAAATCTGAATTACAGCACCATGATTTTGAAAGTTATAAAGATCGCAGTTGCTGGCCCTGACTTCATGAAGCAGACGGGGCCTGCTGCTCACCTGGGGGTGTGTAGGCGTCCATCGAGGTCTGCACAACCAAGGACCTGCGTTTGGAAGGCATAGGCACTGCCATCTTCCTTTCTTTGTGTTTAGCGAGCGCAGCCTGGACAGCTTCTGTATGGACGTCTGAAACAAAGCGAGAGCTCAATCACTCCATTGTTCAGGGACAGCCCGAAGGCCCCAAATTTTTCTGCTTTCTTTCTGGTCCTGTGAAAGAGTTTATCATCCTACAGAAACTGTCACATAATGGATGAGTGGGGAAGGAAGGAAAATAAGTGTAAACCTGCTAGTTTGAAAGCTCCAGGAAAAAGGCATTCAAATTCATTCATAGACTTTTAATTGTTCATTTTATTACCTAGATCTGTATAAATAATCAGATACTGGATGTAAATCGCTGTGATTTTTCTTTTCTAAGAGTGAAAGGACATTGATCTTCAGATATTTCTTCACAGGTCACATTTTCAAGCTTCTTAATTCATTTCAATGTTCTGTTAAGGTAAGTATGTACACCTTACAGGCTGTACGGTAATGATTTTAGCTAACACTTTCCAAACATCAGTTATGGGGCCGTCACTATGTTAGGTATTTTGTGTGTATTAACCCATTATGTTAACTCCACAAATGATATTTTACTGCCTGTTTTGTAAGGTGGTGTCTTCAGGGCTTGGCGTGGAGAATCAGGTGGAACAGGTACTGTGTCTCATGCAGCTCACTTTCTAAAGGGTTAAAGACAGACAACAGACAATCAAAGGGGCTAAGAATGAAAATAAGATAAAAAGATGGAGTACCTACTTAACTGTGAAGCCAGGGAAGAGCTCTCTTACTGTGAAATCTGAATAGTAAGATGACAATCTCCAAGACAGAGGGAAAAGCCAGCTCAAAGGCCCTGCACTGTGAATGAGGATGGTGCGCCACAATGCACACACCACCAGCAGAGGAACTCACCAGAATGAGGGCTTTACAGGAGTGGTACAGAGCTTGGCTATCATTCTAACTTTGACAGGGAAGCATGGGGGAAGAAGGGTGAGCATGGATGACATGATCTGATTCCGTTTTGGAGGGCTCATGCTGGATGTTGTGAAGGAGACTGCAGGAGAATCAGAGTAGGAGCCCGGAAACCAGTTAGAAGTCTGCAGTCAGGATACTACTACACCCACAATCTTCTACACGCTCTGTGGAGGAGCCACTCTTATTATTCCCATTTCACAAATGAGAAAGCAAAGGTATGAAGCTCCCCCAGGGTCAGGTAACTGGGGAGTAGCATTGACAGGGTTTGAACCCAGGTGTGAGTAGCTCCAGAGCCCACACCCTTCACCACCAACCACCCTATTCTCTAGCTGTTCCTAGGAAAACTCCACCCTGTTAACATTTTAGAGTGGGGGTAAATATAGGCCAGCCCTTGGGCCAGATGCAGCCTGCAGTCTCTTTGTAATAATGTTGTTCACTGGAACAGAGACACACTCATTTATATGTGTATTGTCTATGGCTGCTTCCATACTATAAAAGCATGGTTGAGCAGTTGTGACAGAGATCATAATGGCTAAAAATATTTTCTATCTGGCCCTTTACAGAAAATATCTGCCAATACTTGTTTTAGAGCATATCACATACCAAACACAATGAATTTATGTATTATTTTATTTTGTTCAGATTGTGTACGCACTGCTCTTTTCTCCTCAACTAGACTCAAAGTACTTTAAGACAAAAACCTAGTTTCTGGTCATTCTTTTTCTTAAACTCCTAGATTAAAAACTGATGACAGAATGACTTGTATTCACATTACTGAATAAAACTAAAGGGCTCATCAATGAGGTGAGAGTACATTAATTCTTCACATATCAAACACTTTGTTTGATATATTTCTCCTTTTGAACTTTTTGGATGTAATTTCAAATTTACAGAAAATCTGCAAGAATAGTACAGAACTCCTGTATAACTTTTACCCAAACTCACCACTTACATTTGACCCCATTGCTTTCTTTATGTAAGTATGTTTTTTCCTAATCATTTGAAAGTAAATTGCAGGTACCATGTTCCTCTATACCTAAATATTTCAAAGTATTTCCTAAAAACAGAGATATTCTCTTACATAATGTAAATTCTCAAAATCAGGAAATTTAACAATGAAATACTATTACCTAATTCAAAGTCCATGTTCAAATAGTGCCAATTATCCCAGTAACTTCCTTTGCAGTTATTTTGTCTTCCTAGTCTATGATCCAGTCCAGGACCACGGATGCATGCATGTTTCAGAGTTTCTTTGCCCTCCTAGATCTGGACCAGTTCCCCAGCTTCTGCCTCTCGTGAAACCGGCCATTTTAAAGAATACAGGCCAGTTATTTTGTAGATTGTCTTCAACTTGGATTTTCTGATGTTTCCTCATGATTAGATTCAGACCATGCATTTCAGTGGGGGTTCCACAGAAGTCTGTCCTCTACTGATGGTGTTAACTTTGGTCCTTGGTTAAGATGGTGCCCATCAAGTTCTTCCAAAGTAAAGATGTTACTTTTTCCACTATGTAAGATTCTGTTTAAATTTCAAAGAAACTGCCAAAGTGATTACAATATTTAACATCCACATCACCAATATATGAGATTCTAGTCCTGCCACCAGCACTTGGTACAATCTTTTCTACAGGAGCTGTTCTCATGGTTGTGAAGTAGAATCATGAAGTTCAATTTACATTTACCTGATGGCTTATGTTGAGCACCTTTCCTGGACTTCTTGGACATTTGCATATCATCTGTTGTGAAGTGTATGTCCAAGTTTTTGAGCTGTCTTTTTATTACTGATTTATACTAGTTCTTTATATATTATGGATACAAGCTTTTTTTTTTTTTTAAGATATATGTTTTGAAAATACTCATCCCAAGTCTATGGCTCAACTTTCAAACCCTTAATAGTGTGCTTGATGAGGAGAAATTTTTCATTTTCATGAGATTCATTTTGTTATCTTTTCCTCTCTAGCTAGTGCTTTTTGAATCCTGCCTATAAATTTCTACCTACCCCAAGGTTCAAAAAATACACTCCTTTGTTTTCTTTGGGAAGCTTTATACTTTTACCTTTTACTTTTAGGTCTAGGTACCATCTCAAGTTAATTTTTCTAAGTAGTGGAAGCGGAGGTTGGTGTTCACATTTTCCCACATGCTTACCTAATTTTTCAAGTACCATTTGTTGTAAAGATTTTCCTTTCCTTATTAAATTGCCCTAGCTCCTTTGTCAAGTATCACCTGACCATGTGTGTACGGGTATAATTTTGAACTCTCCATCTGGTACAGTAAATCCATTTGTCTATTCTTCTGCTAGTTCTATACTATGTTGATTAGTTATATTTAGTTTTTCAGTTAGAGTATTTACAAAACAACATATAACATTCACCCTCCCAACAATTTTCAGGTGGTCAGCACAATACTGTCAACCACATGTACGTTATTGTGCAACAGACCCCAGAAGTCCCCATCCATCCTGCATGACTGAAACTCTACACCCACCTAACAGCAACTCACCACCTCCCTGCCCCCAATCCTGAGCAACCACCATTCTACTTTCTGTTTCTATGAGTTTACTATTTTAGATACCTCATATAAGTAGAATCACACAGTATTTGTCTTTCTGTGACTGGCTTATTTCTCACAGCAAAATGTCCTCAAGAATATGCTGTAGAATATGTCATAATTTCCTTTCCTTTTAAGGCTCAGTAGTATTCCACTATATATACACACCATATTTTCTTTATCCATTCATCCACTGATGGATATTTAAGTTGCTCTGACCTCCTGGCTAATGTGAATAATGCTGCTATGACTATTGGTGTAGCAATATCTGCTCGCATCCCTGCTTTAATATATTGGATATATATCCAAATAGAATTCATAAATCATTTGGTGGTTCTATTTTTTATTTTTTGAGGAAGCTCCATACTGTTTTCCATAGCTGCTGCACCATTTTACGTTCCTACCAACAGTGCAAGAGGGTTCCAATTTATCTACATACTCACGAACATTTGTTTCCTGTTTAAGAAAATTTTTTATAATAGCCATCCTAATGGGTGTGAGTGGTATCTCACTGTGGTTTTGAGTTGCATTTTCCTGATAATTAGTAATGTTGAACACCTTTTAATGGACTTATAGGCCATTTGTGCATCTTCCTTGGAGAAATGTCTATTAAAGTTTTTTGCCGATTATTAAATTCGGTTATTTAATGTTATTGAGTTGTAGGAGTTATTTACATATTCTGGATATTAACCCATGATCAGATGTATACAAGAGGATATGTTCTTCAATTTCATAGGTTGCCTTTGCCCTCTATTGTTTCTTTACTGCAAAGAAGTTTTAAGTATGATGTGGTCTCACTTGTCTAATTTTGCTTTTGTTGCCTGTGCTTTTGGTGTCATATTCAAGAAATCACTGCCAAATCCAATGTCATGAAGCTTTCCCCCTATGTTTTCTTCTAAGAATTCTACAGTGTCAGGTCTTACATTTAGGTCTATAATCTATTTTGAGTTAATTTTTGTATGTGGTGTAAGATAATGGTCCAATCTCTTTCTTTTGCAAAACAAAATCCAATTTTCCCAACACTGTTTGTTGAAGAGACTATCCTTTCCCCACTGTGCAACTTTGGCAGCCTTGTCCAAGATCATCTGACCATATATACAGAGTGTATTTCTGGGCTTTCTATTCTTTTCCATTTTTCTACATGCCTGTCTTTATGCCTGTACCACAGTGTTTTGATTACTGTACCTTTGTAATTTATATTGAAATCAGGAATTGTGAGGCCTCCATTTTGTGGTTCTTTCTCGATTGTTTTGCTTATCTGAGGTCCTTTGAGATTCCATATGAATTTTAGAATTTTTTCATTTCTGCAAAATATGCCATTGGGGTATTGATAAGGAAGATTATTGTAGTTTTATCATAAATTTTGAAATTAGGTAGTGCAAGTCCTCCAACTTTGTTCTTTTCAAGTTTGTTCTGGCTATCCAGATTTGATCTCATTTTCATGGAAATTGTAGAAACACTCTGTCAATTTCTACAAAAACTCTGTTGGGATTTTGATTAGATTCATGTTAAATCTATAAATCAATGTAGAGAGACTATCTTAATATTGAGTCTTCCAATCCATGAACACAC